TGCGAGGCGCGGAACGTCTCCCGTGACAGCTGCGCGTAGCCGTGAGCGCTGGAGCGGCAAAAGGGCGGCTTTTCCCGTGTGCCCAGGATGCGTGTGGCCTGCCCGCTCCTTAACGCTGCCCACGAGGTCAGCGGGCCTCCCTAACGCAGGGTCTGTGTAAGCGATGGAAGCGCACAAAGCAGAACACACTTAAGTGCCATCTCGTATGAAGACTAATTATGCTGTAAACAGGGTGGTTGTCTTTCTCAGACAGGTAAGGCAGGATTTACTAGATATAAATAGCAACAGCATGAAGGAGAATAAAGGCAAAACCTTGTATTTAGCAGAGGAAGACTTAACATTTCTTAAAAATAAACTTATTCCATTGCTGTGATACTATTACTTAGTTTTAGAAGTCAGTAACTGACAAAGGCAAGCCAGGGCTCACTGAATGCAAGATAAATTTCATTACGGTATTGTATAACGCACCAAAGTGATACCCAGCTTACAGTCTGTAAGTCTGCAGTGCACGATCCGCAGCGTTTTAAAAATAAGGACTTCTCGGCTTTTGTGTGGCTACACAGATGATACACAAGGTACTTGTGTGCTGGTGGTGGGTGTTTAGTTGTAGGGCTGTTGCTGTGAAAAAGCTGTGATTCCCACGGGCCGTGGCTCTGGTGTGGACTCAGCGGTGGCAGAGCCCAGGGCAGGAAGGGACGGCAGATTTTGGACTCTGCTGTGAATATCCTGGTATTTCTCTTCTGTGGCTAGCTGAGTTCAGGGTGCCGCTACAGCACACAGCCGACTCAGGCTGCCCTGCTGATGAACTGAGCCGGTACCATCTTCAAGCGGTTTGATCAGCTTTGTCCCTGCTGTGAAAATCTGAAGTCTGTCCCAGGCTCCAAACCGTCCCCATTTTCAGGCTAAGTTTATTCATGGGCAGGTCATTTTACTTGTTCCTGGGACAACAGTGCTTAGAATTATAAATTGCGCCTTGTCCTTGATGATGGTTTGCACCTTCTCTGTGTGTATGTACGCACGTGAATACATGTTTACACGTCATACATAGATACAGGTATGCAGGTACATATTTATAGAGTGGAGTCATGTGCCTTCCTAGGCAAAAGTCACACTCTTGCCAGCTCCTCTGGTATGAGCCGGTTTTGGTTTCGTGTATCGTCTTTGGCTTCCCCTGTACTTGCTGCCTTTTAAACATGGAATACCAAAGCTGTAGACAAGACTCCACAGTTTGCTTTTTAGTTCCGAAGTTTTTGCAGCTTTTGAAAAATGGCCGATTCTGAAGTTTTGAACAAAATACAAATAATGGTCAAGTGCACCAAAACTGCCAGGAAGATTCCATGAACCAGGGAAGAATGGAGAAAAAATATAATGGAAGAAATGTCTCAAAGATCAGTTTCACGAGACTTCAAATTTCAAGCACTGGTGTATTTGGATGCTTGTTTTGAAAGTTTATAGCTTCACAAGTACCATGCTAGGATAGATGCCTGTAATAATTTATTTAAATTTTAATTTGCAAGTAAGGATCTTGGGCATATGAATCTGTGGCTTATTTTCCAGTCCATGTATTGCCTGCAAGTCTTACCCATGTCTCTCTTTTCCCCCCACAAGCTTTTTTCATCATTCAGGAAGAAGAAAAATATCATTATTGGTGTTTTTATTAGATGGTTTTGGTGAAGTGGTACTTAGGTGCATTCTGTAGGTAAGAAATGTTTTTGATAACTGGAAAAAAACAGCTCACTATTAATAGGAACGTGCCACCCTAACTTTAATGTTTGTGAAAAACCGAGGAAAATACAGAATTTGGCATCCATGCTATGAGAAGCAAGTTGCATGCTAGCTATGGAAGACTGTTCAACCCTGGGATAAATCATATTTTCAAGTATAGCAATGGTTACTTCATCATGTTTTAATGCCAAGGTGAAGATTTTGCACGGCAGTCTTACTCTGTATGGCCAAGGCTTTGAAATTCCAAAACCTTACCCAACATAGAAGAGTCTGACTGTGGATGAGGGGATGGCTGCTGACAGACATTGCACCAATCGCCACTTCATTTGCTGTGTGGTTAGGGTGGTTCTGAATTCACGTGGAAACAGAACGCTTTCCAAAGAGGAGTATCAGAACCAAGAAGAAAGTCCTAGTGTTAGATACTTCATGAAAAAAATCTGGACTGAAAATATTAAGAGAGTGACATGCCTTCTTATTTGACAGCAAATTCTCCCTCTTAACCATTGGCTAATCTATACCCAAAAAGGCTGTGCAAGAGTAGATACACTGGTGAGGAGAAATGAACTAGAAATACTGGATTCTTTAAAGGAGTTCAGGCTGAAATTTTAAAACACATCAGCTATTCATAAATTTGTTCCTTTGTCAGATCTTCTCTCAGAGTTAAAGCCCGAGTTACTGTAAAATTACTGCTGATTGCCCATTCTGTGTAGTAACACCATGCATGTTTTGGAAAGAGTAGTTTTAAGGACTAGGGTTTACTGAACCAAAGTCGAGTCTTTCTAATATAACTAGAAGAATCTGACTGATGGGGGTAACTTGTTTTTTTCTTCTTCCTTGCTTCCTCAGAATGACTGCCTTTTGCATGATGAAACATTTATGTCAAACAACCAGAAATGAGAATAGATACGCAAAAAGATTCTTTGGTACTCTTCTGACACAACCACCACAAAAGAAGGTTTTTTCTCCACTCTGGGTTGTGGTACCTGACCCTAGAAAGACAACTCTATTTGGACTTACTCAACCATTTTGTAGAGCTGAAAAATCTCACACAGAAACTGAAAGGAAAGCAGCGTTTGGAAGTGTTGGGCGAAGAATTCCCTATCGAATTTTGCACGTAATCAACCAGGATGGCGAGAGCTTAGGAAATATGCACCGAGCAGAGGCACTCAAGCTTATGGATCAACATGGCCTGAAACTAGTTCTCCTTCAAGAGAATGCAGAACCTCCTGTGTACAGACTAATGACAGGGCAGCAGATTCATGAAGAACAGCTTAAACGTGCAGAGAAGAAAAAAGCAAATCCAAACCCAGGTATGTACATTGTTCACACGATGACACTGAGCGCTTTGAAAAACGCTGCATTAAAGGTGGTTTCAGCAGATGAAATCCTCTTACTTGCATTTGTGTAAATCCAAAGCAATGTCACTGCAGTCCATGCTATTAAGGATTTGCAGCGGTGAAAATAAAATTTTGGATTAGTCTAGTCTTCCACAGGGGAGCCTTCTCTTGCCTTCTCAGGATTTACTATTTTGGCATCTGCTAGTGCTTTTTTTTTTAAATCTATTTTTATGTAAGTGAATATAGCTAGACTCTGGTTCCATAAGACTCCCTGAATTTCTGGTCTTTTACTAAGGCATGAAGTGACAGGCGGTTTTTACAAACTGAGCACCAAAACACCAATATAATCACGTAATTTTGTCACCAGTAGTCATGAAACGGTCTCTTCCTAGCTTGCTGCTAGGAAGACAAAGCCTGAAGCCCTTTCTTGTGCAGAGTAAGAGAACAGCTTTTTCAATACTGAACACTTTTCAGTGTTTTTTTGTAAGTCAGCCTGCTCTAGCAGTTTAACAAACTGAGTTTGGCAAAGAGGTTTTAGAAAAGGCATCAGACCTTGTATCCTCTTTTCTCATCCTCAGGCTAACAAAGGTATCTGTGCTTTGGGTAGAATTCTGATTCTAGAGGACAGCACCATTGTGGTAGTGAGTTTTTCTGTTCAAGAAACTATAAAACAATTATTCAAATGGTAACTACTTTAGAGAATCTTTAAGGAGGAAGAGACCACAAATGGTTCAAATATATTACAGGGCAACATACTTCCAGTTGCATATTGCACTTTACCATTCAAGAAAATGAACTTGAGATGAATAGCTATTGAACTTCAAAGCTTTCACATTCAGCTGTACTATGTGCAGAATGTAGGAATCTGCACACTAAGTCCTTAATTGCAGATCCAGTGCTTACCTGTTTACCTTTGTTAGACCTGTGTTGTGGGTGGTATGAACAAAACTGTAATTGAAATAAAAATACTTTAAGCCTTATGACCCTGAAGAGACTTCCCCGTGTGCTTGAACCATGCACTCAGTCTCCCAATTATGGCAGTGAGTGCGAGATATCAAGCAGCCACCTTCTATAGGTGAGAGTCTCGGAGCATGCTGGGCCAGTGAGATGGGGATGCTCTGTGTGTGAGAACACAGCATGGGGGAAGGGAGTTATGCAGAAAAAGCACCATAAGCTGTTGGAAGAGAGCAACTGATGCAGGTTTTTCAGATGTTAAGCCAACACAGTTTTAGTTCTGTTTTAAACAGGGGTGGTTCAGAAGGAGTTATCCTTTTCTTCAGCTATTGCCAAGAACGACTTAGAGACCAAGACTAAACAGATAGCACAGTGGATTGAAAAGAAATACCATGTTAAAATTACTATCCGGCAAGCAAAAGATAGCAATACGGACATGGTAAGTGGACTCCTGACAGTGACACCGATCATTTTCATTAAATAGTTGTACTTGTATTAACTTCCCCTATTCAGTACTGCCGTGGTTTTTAATATATCATGTACTGCTAAAGTAAGTGAAGGCCTAGGTCCCATGAAAGCAGTCGTTGCCCCACCTGAAGCTGCAAACACTGCAGTTCTAGAAAAGCAGTCCCATAGAGACAATACCCATACTGTGCTTCCTTACGAATGCCGTTATAACACTGGCTTCCACAGCAGAGTCTAAGCAGTTCCTGCTCCTTTGCAGCACCACCTTATTAACTGGGCTGGTGAAATTTTCCTGTCTGTGCCTTAAGCCAGTTCATTCACTGAAAAGTTTAACAGTAAGGTTTTAAAAAATTCTGCTGTATTTCAGTAACCAAACTGTTCTTCTGAAGATGCATTTGTGCAACTCTGGCTAAGGTTAGTTGTCCACTGCTGCGTGAAAAACTACTGGAATGGTGTGCCAAGACTGGCAAAGTAAACATCTATAGAGATGTTAGGGAGCTGGTGGCAACTTACTAGTATAACTGCAGGGCCTTGAGACTTGTCTTCATTGTCATTTGCACAAATGAATTTTTTATAAAGATTCCATGTAAGATTTTTTTTTCCTTTTCATGTGTGTGGTGAATTAGGTTTCCTTGATTATTCTCTACTAAATTGTTGGAAAAAATGGTGGTATCACTTCCTCCAAAAGGAAAAAAACTTTTCAGAGGAAGCTGAATTGACAGGGAAAAGGGGGCAAGAGGAAGAACTGGATATGGGACGGAGCAGAACACTTCATGACACCAATTTAGATTGTCCTTAAACTTAAAACCTTAATTATGAGCTTAAGAGTTCAGCTTGTTATATGAATGCGCTGTATCACTCGGTACAATCCCACCACCGTAGAACAATCCTGCCCCTTAAGAGGAAAGCTCCATAATAATGTGCCTGAATCTAGTGGAAGAGGAGGGTGGGGAGGAGGCAGATGCAGTCCACTTTCACAGACTCCTTTAAACAGCAAAACAGGGTGAGTCAGGAATTCAGCCTAAGTGTTAGGAAATGGCTTAATCCCTGTGATGACTTTCCTAAACCTGCTTAGGAGTAAAGAACACCTGGTTAGGAAAGGACAAGCTGAACTGCTCAGACCAGGGCTAGCAGCTAGCTCGTTTCAGCTGATAGCTAAACCACAAGCAGGAGATCATGTCATTACAGGACAGCCTGAAATATTTTTCTACCCGTCTTTGTGCATTTAATCTTATTTTTCTTCTTTTTAGTTAACGCTTTTTGATGAGATTTTGGAGACTGTATCCAAGAAGGCCACTTATCTTTCCAAGCCAAGAGTTACGAGAGAAGGAGTGAGTACCTGTATTTTGAGACACATGTCTGACAAAGAGTTGAAAGCATATCAGAAGAGGGAAAAAAACAGTGCAGTGAAGGAAGACGAAAATGAAGAGCTGAAGTCAAAGGAGTTGCATCAGTGACTTTATGAAGAGATGTAAACAATATTAATTTCTTATTTAAAAAACCCCACAACTATAAACTTTAATAAAGTCATTGTTGACCTTTGCACTGCTCATTCCATGAAGAAAGTTGTCTCCGTTAACCTTTACTGCAGAGTCAGAATTTCAACAGCTGGTATTTCATTTTCCATGGGCTTATCCGTTCTCTTGCTTTCTGTCACAACCGCATCCTTTCTTGGCTGCGTTTTAGGAGGAATGTAGCCGCTCAGACGAGAGGCTAAGCTCCTCTTAGGACGAGAACGCTTTGCCTGGCAGAAATAAATGCAGAATTAGCAACTTAACATATCTATGGAGCAAAGACTACTAATGTGACGGGGACAGAAGAAATCAATGAATAGGCCACCATTGCATTATTGAAAGGAGATTTAGAAATTAAGAATCTCCCAAATTAAGTAAATAGCGGGGCTGTTTTCCTGCTTAGTCACATTCTAAAACATGTAACGTTTACCCTCCTCTGAAGTGACTGGTTGAGAGGATGTTTTCAAGAGTTTAACTTACTTTCAAGTTCAGCTTTCGCTTTTCAGGATCATGTACAACTGTGTGCCTCACTAGGCTCTGCTAAGGTTACAAAAAGCAGGGAAGGGAAAGACAAAAAATTAGGTTTATCATTTCAGACTATGTGATTGAGATTAGTACAGTGTAAAAAATACATACCTTCATTGCAAACACTCTTCCACAGCCTGGATAATCACAAGAGAATGGTTTTTTCTCCTCATGAAAAGAAAGGATATGGCTTTGAAGGTTAAATACAGTTGTGTAAGTTCTCCCACATCCTTCTCTTGGGCATCGGCAGACTTCCCTCTCCACAGCATGTGTTTTTTGATGCTGCTTGAGGTAATCTTTCCGTTTAAAAGTTTTGTTACACTCGCTGCAAACTATTGGCTCTGAGTGGAAGAGAGACAGGCAGAGTATAAATGAACAGCTTCTTACAGGAACTCAGAATCAAACTCCAGTAGTCCTCTAGAACAATGCTAAATCCACATGAAATGCAAGGAACTCTGAGACTAGAAGAGAGTATGCAGTACGAATTTTCCAGATCCAAGATCCTACGTTATACAATTTCTCATTAATTGGACAACAAAGCAAAGTTGGTATACGGAGCAGCATTTTCATCAGTTAAAGGTCTAGCCAGAGAAACATTCTGCCAACAAAGTGTTAGGAAACAAGTTTGTCTGGACACAATGACAAGGTGATGAAATGAGTTCAGCAAGCACTCCTCTTCAAATTAGCAGTTTGTATAAAAAGTTATTGTATAAGAAGTATTTGTATAAAAAGTTACATTCAGTTTATTAACACATTTCAAGTTTACCTGTATGACTTTCTTTATTATGTTTCAGAAGCTCTGTCCAAGTTTTTCCAATATACAAGCAGTTTTCTTTCTTGCACGCATAGCCTGTTGGACAGGACAGATGTTTACAATCACAAAGTTTCTGGCAAACAATCCAATTTTACAAGGGGGAACTCCACTTGTAGTGCTTGAAAATTAAAGGCCAGTATTTCTTCTCTCCCCCTATACTGCACCATGATGGGACAAGAGGCAATGAACACAAATTACAACAAGAGAAAATCCCAACAGGTTTAAGCAAGAAACCTTGTATCACTGACACCAGTTGTCTAGAGAGGCTGTGGAATCCCTACCCCTGGAAACATTCAGAACTTGACCTGATGCAGTCTGCAGCAACCTGGTCTAACTGACCCACCTTGAGCAGCGAGTTGGACCAGGTGACCTTGAGAGGCCCTTTCCAACCTAAATCATTTTATGAAACTCTCTCTCCTTGCTTCAGTAAAGCTACTTCCTCACCAGCTGTGCACTTTCACTCAAATAGATGAAAATAATAATACATATTACTCCTATGTAAATATGCGTATTACATATTAAAAAACCCCAAGATTTTGACCATAAAGTAATATTCCAGAGCCTAAAGGGACTCTACTGTTCTACCAAGCAGACAGGAGGTTTTTAAATGAACCACAGAAAGTCAACACTACTTGAATCCCAGGACTGGAAAGGTCAAACAACAATGAATAAGTCCCAGTCTTAAGAAAGGAACACAGTACAAATCACCTTTTTGAACACTCTTCCTAGTCCCTTGGGTTTGTTTTTTTTTTTTCCCTAGCTCTGGAAAGTGGGTTTGCTGTCAACAGTACTGAAAGAATGGACAGTAGTGTAGCAGGGTTAGGTCAAACATACACAACCACCTCCTGACGATTCTGCTTCAATACCTTTCACAAAGGTACATTAATAACTTTAAAAATGCAAGGCTACGTGGTTTTGCCAAGTCTCCCTGGGAAATTTGTGGCAGAACTAGTGACTGACCCTAACCTCTGGAGGTCCAGGCTAGTGCCTTAACCATTAGCCCATCTCCAGAAGATGGATTATTGACAAGGAAGCATGTCAGGAGAACAAATGACTGAAGGAACCCTGAGCTCTGTTCCGCTGGCCACAAGTACGTTGTAACTGAACACCGCAATGCCCTGCAATTGGACCCCACTGGACTACTCAAAAGGGGTGTTCTTGTTTTGTCTGTCCGGATCACTAGGCCCAGAATACTTTTGTGTCTGTCATACATCCCTGCATACTCTCCGTACTGGAAGAAGTCCTTTTTCCTTTGCTAAAACATCATTGAAGCAAGAAGAAAATCTATTACCTTCATGTGTCTTCTCATGCCGCTTCAGTCGACTTGGAGTAGCAAAGTGCTTTCCACATCCTTCATTATTACATCTAGGTATAAAACACACTGGTTTAATTTCTTTCACTGCATCCGCGTAATTTTTGTTCTTTATGTCAAGAATAATTAAAGTGGAGAAAATAATCCAAGTTTCCCCTTACCTAGAGATCTGTTCTGTCCCCCCCCTTGTAAAAGTAAATTCCATAATATGTTTCTAATAGGGGACTCTGATGCCCTTGAGAGTTAAAACTATAATATGATTTTCACGTATACAGCAAGTTAAGCTTTAACTAAAGAATCATCCCTACACAGCAGGCTCTTCAAACATAAAGAAGAGATAGATAGTTGAGGGTTTAAGTGGCTTGTACAGATCTTGCAGTCAGAGCAGCAGTAGAGCACTGACAATATTTTTGTGTCCGTCACCCAGCCAGACTAGTGCACTTAAGTAGAACACTCCTGTTAAGTGTGTTCCACCTGTAGGAAATAAGATTAAAGATTAAACTTTGCTTTCATCAGATCTACACTGATATGTCCTGTAAATAATGGAGTTGCAATGCGGTTTCTCAGATTGGTGTCCAAGCCGCTCACTTTTTTTAAGCTACTACCCACTTTAATGTTAGCCCCAGTTTTTCCTGGAAAACAGAGGTAGCTGCATTTTTCATTACTGTGCAAGCTCTCATGTTTGAACTGTGTGAACTAAAAACTGGGGGATTTTTTGTTTATCTTTCCTGTAAACCTGTAATAAACCCTAAGAAAATATCTTGAATGCTGAAGTTATAGAGCACCAAGACTGTTGCTCAAAACAGACTACTCAGCAAAGAAATGTACTTGCAGCCCTTACTGCAATGACAAATTAATTTTTTTTGTTAAATATTACATCATTGAAAAGGTTGAAAAAAGGCACCTGTTTTCATCTACAGTGGTTAAATGAGTTAAAGTTCATTATTAAGATTATCCACCTACTTGAAAGGAGGTTCATTGGTGTGGTGACACTGATGAACTTTAAGTTGCTGATGTTTCCTGAAAGACTTGTTACAGCCTTCAAAGTCGCACTATTTAGGAAATTAATTTATCATTAGAGGCCAAGTAATGATGGTCCAGTCCACGTATTTGCTGAAATTCACAGTATTTGAGCTCAAACAAGTACCACATAGTAATGAGTTGAAGTATTTCAAAAGATACACAAAAAGGAGCTTGTTTAGCCTCCACTTTACAGTACTGAAGGTAATTACTCACCACATATTGCTTCTGCTGATTTTGATGCTTGCGCTCAATGTGCTTCTTTAAGTTCGATTTTGTTCCAAATTTCTCATTGCATCCATCAGCTGCACACCTGCAGATGAACTGTGGGTTTTATTATCACTCCCAAACAGTCATTTGTTTGTTAGGCAGATACAGAAATCATTGGACAAGAAGAATACATGAAGAATAACTGAAACTCACAACCCAAATATAAAAATCTGCTTTAAGGACATGAAAAGCCAAAGGCTAAGTTACAAGCAAAAGCCACAGGAAAACGTATCGGAAGAAAAAGGAAGAGATTTTTAATAAAACACAGAGGAACTCCTAGCTCCTAGTCCATGACATCAAGCTGTCAAGGACTTAATCATAGCAGGTAACTGTGCTTCCGTCTTTTAATTCTGTATTCTAGGGAGAGATCTGCCCGTTCCTTTAAGCATCTATTGTGGGTCGCTGCCAGGCAGGAGGTTTTCGGCTAAGGAGATTCCCCACGTCTCACCCCGTGTGCACTCTGCTCTAGCAGTGATACCACAGCCAGGCGGGCATGCTCCTATGTGCCACCCTCACACCAGGCTTAAGGCCCCTTCGCTTCCACCGAGGACCAGCGTAACCCACTTGAAGAAGCTCGGCCTTACTCGAACGGCTTCTCCCCAGTGTGCGTAAGGTGGTGCCGAGTGAGGTGGAAATCCCTCGTGAAGCCTTTACCGCAGCCTTCGTACGCGCACACATACGGCCTCTGGAAGAGAGAGGGGCTGTGCAGGCACACTGGACACACCGCGGGGGCCCGCTTGGTCCCAGCAGCCCGCCCC